TTATGACAATTGTTTTGGTGCAATGTCATGACTAGTGAAATGTTTGTTGAAGGCTGCATTGTACTAATTTTATGACTCAGATTTACACTTAAGAAAGATCAAAGCAAATGATTACAACGACTAACGGTTATAATTAATAAACGTGACCAGTGAGTCGAGTAAAAATCTTTATTGTTAACTATTCACTGGCAAACTAAAGTTTCTGATTTGGTTTGAAAAGAATTATGTAAGAACCTAATCAGAAAAATGTACTATTAAAATAATAAGAATAATTGAATCAACATTTCTAAATTTAAAAAAACAATAATTTAATAATAACTTTGACAATGAACAATAAATATAATTTTACTCATCACTGATAATAAGATACGAAAAGGAAAATTTCTCTCTATAGAATATAATAATGATGAATTTTTTATTTATTGTAGAAAAAAAACATTCACAATGAAGCACTACGTTCTATTACTTTGCATTGTGGCAGTTCTTCGAGATTCCGAAGCGCTACGTAAAGGATCCACGGATTATGAAGGTTTGTTATATAATCGTCATACTATAAAATAATTGACATATATTCAAATTAGATGTCAAAGTTCTCTTACATAAGTATCACAAACATAAGTTTTAGATTTCATGTTCTTCAAATTTTTCATAATTATGATATTAATAAGCATATGTCCGTTGTAAATTTTAAACGTGTCTATAAATATATAAAAGAATCTCAAAATACTTTTACGTCATTCATTGATAAATTTCTGGGAAAAAAGCAGATTGCTTTGATCGATCAAATCAAAGTTACGTAAATTTTGTCTTATTATAAAAAATCGATAAAATAATATGCGAAGTTCGGCCTTCATCGATCAGTATCGATACTATATGCCTGAGGTTTTTCTGCATCGATATTGTTTTGTTAAATAACAAGCTGTTTATGTGTTATTGCAAAGTTATAAGTGTCGAGATATATCTCACAAAATAGTTTATGTTAATACAAAATTGTTCATTGATAACAACATTATTATTTTAATTTCCAAATTCTATCCTGCAATGTTCTAGGAAATCAATAAGCACACGGCGCAAATGTCTTAAACTTAATTTACACATACTGATTAGTAACTTAACTTTGATCGAATTTTACTTTATCTTTTTTTATATGTATCGTAGATAAAACTACATTTTAGATAGTAGTTATTAAGAGATAATGGAAGACTTCTCATTATTCCTTTAAATATTTTTTTCAATATTTTTAAATTTTCGGTTTTAATTCCGTCCTATCCGTTCTACCACGATCAATCGATTGTATTTCTTGGCATCAAAGCGAAATTCTGATCTCTTATCAGATATGTCCTTCTGGCTGAAGTCCGGCCAAGAGACCCTGCACAGAATCCTGTCGGAGCAGAAAAACGAGAATCGTGCCAAAAACGTGATCATCTTCATCGGGGATGGTATGGGTCTGTCCACCATTACGTCCGGTCGAATCTATATAGGTCAGCTCAATGGCCAAAGCGGTGAAGAATACCAACTCGCGTTCGAGAAATTCTCCAACGCCGGCCTCGCCAAGGTAAGACATTCAAATTGCATCGATTGTGCCTTCAATCTCGACGGGGCGATCTCGAGGCGCAACGATATTGGGAAATCCCGTCACGTTAAGCCTCTTAATTCTGCGCCTTTGATAAAGGCGCCGCGTCTACCCTCGACAAGAAAATACGACAAACACGATGTTCGTGAGAATTTGTTAACTTGAAAATTTTCATGAGAATTTGTTAACTTATATCACGCCTCTACATTGACGTAATATATTTTATCACGCTATCGGGAAAAAAAAACGTGACAACGATTACAATATATCGGTCGAATCTCGTGCTTCGAAAATTTCGATTGATGCCGATAATGTACGATAGATTATTTCCTTAAACCGAACACTCGTTATCGGTTATCGAAATTGCATCACACGTTAAATATAAATATCTCACAATTATCATAAATTTGTAGACTTACAACGTAGACAAACAAGTACCGGATTCGGCAGGGACGGCAACTGCTATATTTTCTGGCGTGAAAACCAAATACAGGGTTATTGGACTGGATGCCAGAGCTGAATATGGCAAATGTGATAAGAAAATCAACGCATTAAGCAAAGTCACCACGGTAGCTGACTGGGCACAGCAATCCGGCATGGATACTGGTGAGAGCTTTGACCTTTGAAAACTATACTATATATCTTTCTTCTCCATTAACTGAAAGATTTAAGATTGTCTACACCTTCTAGTTTTGCACGAATTATTTTTCATAAGATTATCTCATTCTACCTGGAGTAATTAGCTTAGAATTATTTATGGAGCTGTAAGAAAATAATTTTAGGCGAGGCATTATGAGCAATCACACCGAAAAAAAATCTCAAGCTAACTAAGAACTCGGCTGTGACAATAGAG